TATTTGCAGGTTATCTTGGACGTGATGATTTAACTGCAAAAGCTCTTATTGAAATAGATAGTCAACTATTTTATCGAACAGGTGATCTTGTTACAATGGATAACAACGGTCTTCTTCATTATCAAGGAAGAAAAGATCATCAAATCAAACTACATGGACAACGAATCGAACTTGGTGAAATCGAACGATGTTTACTTAACATCAAATCCATCTCTGCTTGTGTTGTCATGAAATGGAATGATGATTATTTAGTTGCATATGTTCAATCATCTTCTCATGTGAATGAAGAAGAAATACGTCAACATTGTCAATCTCATCTTCCACCACATATGGTTCCATCCATATTTACTATAATTGATAAACTACCTCTGAATCAAAATGGAAAAGTAGACAGAAAACAACTTCCTTCACCTGACTTTTCTTCATCGACTTTGTTACCATCCGATATAGCTGATACTCCCCTTAACGAGTTCGAAGAACATATACTCACTATTTGGTGTCAAGTTCTTCATTGTAATGATAATCAAATTTCGAGAACTACCAGTTTTTTTACTGTTGGTGGTCATTCTCTGTTATTTATTGAACTTTATTATCATTATCAATCAATATTTAACTTTGATGCTCATACACTTTCGATTGCCCCATTTCTTCAACAACCAACTATATTTCAACATTCACAACTACTTCATACGGTTATAATGAATAATATACAGACATCACAATGGCACACGTTACATATAAATGAAGGTAAAAGTGTTTACTGCAACATTATCAAAATAATTTCTATTATTTAATTGACACGTATTGCCTCTTTTGCTCAAGAACGTATATTTCTTGATGAACAGGTTCGCTTTTCAAGTGATATTGCTATCTATAATGAATTCTCGACTTTACAAGTTGTTCAAGGATCATTATCATTCAATCGTCTATCTCAAGCATTTCGATATGTTTTGAATAAACATAAAATATTATGTACGTCCCTTCTTTTTAACAGTAATAATAGTGGTGTCAGACAATGCATTACAGAAATACATAAAACATTC